GGAGGTAGATACAAGGGTGAAGAACTTGAGGAAGAAATGGGTCCCTGCAACACTGAAGGCGTTCTCTGTATGACTGCTTTCAGAACAGATAATCCTCACGGATCAGCCACTCCCCTGGCTCAGTGGTGTGGTGACTGGCTTGGAGACCCTGGACTCTGAAAAGTTCCATAAGAAAATTAATCTTCAGCACTTTTGTTGTGAGACTTGAGTCATGGATTGACCAAGCAGACCATGTATGTCAGTGCTTAGAGTCTGGTTTTCAAGGGGGTGAGCATGAGGTTTGGTGGTAGGGCTGGGTGTTTTTATGTTTATGCTGCTGAAAGCAACAGTAATACCTAAAGGTAAAGAAATCTAAAGAGAATCAGCATCTGCCAAAGTTTGGGGGCAATGGCAAAGACTGGGCTCTCTGCTACTTGCCAGAAACTGCGAAGTCCAGAGAGGAGAGAAATGGGGCAGGAAGGACATGGCAGGCACAGGTGCTCTGTCCTTGCTCGGCCAAACGCCTCCAGTAACTCTTGGTCGTGGATAGCTGCCCTCATGCATAAGGACCTCTTGCTTGAGTTTTTTCTGAAACTCAAGCAGCCCTGCAAATGGGTGAAACAACTGGCTGTGAGACTTCCTAGAGGCCAGTAAAGCCTTCTGAACATGGATGTCACTGGACATTCTGCCTGGAGAAAACTGTAGGACCACAGAGTCAGGTAAGATCAAGTATTATTTTCCTTCTCTGGTCTTTTGCTTCAGACCTTTCTGCTTCATCTAAATGAGGTATGATTACAGCACTGCATTTAATATAGAGGAAAATGCTGCAGGATTTTGAAGGAAAAGAGAAACTGAGAATACTTTAAAAATACTATTGCAGTATTAACTGCTCCAACCAGTTGCAAATGATACCATTGACCTATTACATAAATGGCAGCTCAAGTCAATTTGGTTTGGGTTCTTCAAATTTGCTTTCTGCTTCTTAAGCCTTTTCCTCCCATTGCACTTTATGACTTGTGTATTAAAAAAATAAAAGCTGTGACCAAGTGGTCCAGGCAATGGTGGATCTGTGCAGAAGTGCCAAACATGCCACAGTGCATCCAGAAAAACCCAGCTTTATCTGCCTGAACTAAGGGGGAAAGAGAGGATTAGACTGATGACAGAATGATGTTGATTAGGATAATGAAAAATCCTGCTGAAAAACCAGAAAAAGCTGTGCTTCTGAAGGTTGATTCCAGCCTCTGAAATTACCTCAGGTGCCAGGGAAAGGGTGAGGAAGGGATGGAGTCTGTGACAGGAATGGTGGTGAACAGGCTTATGTGTCAGCTGAGACCTGTAAAAAAAATCCTGATCATTCTCAGCTGTTAGGGTTGCTTCCTGAAGGCACGGATGTACATGGTCCTCAGAGCAGGCAATATGCATGTGTGCATGAGAACTGCTGGACTAAGACATCCTGCTAAGACAGGATGAAGAAAAAAAAATGCTGCAGATGAAAGTCATTCAGTTTGTTTGCAGATTTGCTCTCTGTATTTATTCTCTGTAGGTGTGAACATTCACAGTTCTCTCTTGGCAATAAAAGCACACTTCAGTTCTCCCATGGAGTAACCAAATGTATTTTTAGATTATAAACTTATTACAATGCTCCCAGCTCTGAGAAATCAAGAGTCTTGCTGAGAAGCATCCCCTGTTCATAGCTGATGGAGTGTTGTGTTCTCCAATCCAAAAAGAATCCCACTTCCCTCCTCCCTCCCACACAGAAATGTAACCTGGTGGTTTTCACACTGCTGAATATTTGTTGCTGGCAGTACTGAAGGTGTCTGTTCCCTCAGGCAGTGGGGCAATGTGAAGCTGCCTTTGTGAATTTTGTACCTCAACTCCATTTTTCCAACAAGTTTTCCTACCCTTTCCCCTCACTTCTTCTTCATGAGACCTCTTTGCACAGACCCTTTCAGGCCCTGCTTTACTTTGCCTTGCTTGACAAACGTCATGTAGGACATAAAATGTCCATTATGTGCCATACTTGCATCTGGCTACCCACCTCACTGGGAAAACCAGGAACCAGGCTGATGGTGATGTTCAGCATCTCCTGACTCGGGTGATTTATTCCCACTCCTGCTCACTGCCCTGGCATCTTAGTTTTTCACATTCCTTACAAAAGGGACTCATGCCAAGCAAATGTTTATGGGGACCAATGACCTAAAACTAGCTCATAAATGAATCCTCCTACTCCCAACCCTTGGCAGCCCTGCCCTCCTTGGCAACTGGGGAAATCCCCTGCAATGTGTGGTATGCTGGGAACCTCCTGCAAGAGCTCTCCCTGTAATCTCAGACGTCTATCTTTAGGAGATCCTGCTTTGGGAGGAGTGGAATAAGACTGGTCAGGGTTTATCCATGACAGGAAAAACAGTGAGGGTGTTTCTGACTTGCTTGCGAGGTGAAATTACATCACAGGCAAGGTCATGTGCAGTTCTTGCATGATCACCAGTTGAGATAAGCCCTGCAAGAGAGAAAAGTGATGAGCAGTGAGCTGCTCTGGCTAGCCAGGGCTGTTGCTAACAGTGAGCCAATGCAGGACTTGTCTGTTTTTCCCAAAGCAATTTCCCAAAATTAGCAGGCTACTGTGGCTGGCACAGAGGCTGGAGACTCTAAAGCCAAGTCACTTCAAAAAAATCTCTAAATAACCAGCCCAGTCCTTTTACACTGTCTGACCCTTGGTGTTTAAAGTAAATTATCTCACAGAGCAAAAAAAAAAGTAAAGCAGTGAGCACCGTTTTTTCCTGATTTATTCTTCCTGACTCCTATGAAGGAAAAGGGAAAGAAACTGTTACCTGATATTCTTCAGACTGGTTCAACTCAATCTTATGGCTGTTGGGTGTTGGGTTTTCTTCCTTTTTGGGTTTTACTTATCTAGAAACTTCCTCTGTTGAATAATCATCATGTGTGTTGTTCTCCTTTCTCCAGTTCTGGTTGTTCCCATGTTTGTGTGACTTGTGGTTCTTTCTTAAGCAGGTACAAAGTTTTTTTTAAGTCATTTCCTTTCACTGAATTCAAATAATTCCTGGTCTTTTCAGATAAGGGATTTAAAGGACAGAGAAATGTACCCTCTGCAGCAGATGTGCTATGGAAGAAAACAGGTTCCATTTTAAGATGGATCTGGACCCAAATTGCAAACATAATTCATAGGAGTTGTCTAGGTTTGCAAAATGTAGCTCATCTCACACTGCAGTTTGCCAATAAGACATATGAAAATACCTACCCTGTTTAATTATGGAGTGAGGCAAACATTCAAGTTTTAACACTCACACTGTGTCTAACTTCTGAGGACATCAAGACTTGGGCAGGTCTGAGCTTTGCAGATCCCATTCATTTCTAACCCTTAACTCTGAAACTGTTCATCCTTTACCCTTGTGGTGAGGCACATTCCCTGAAAAGTTTACCCTGCTCAGATGGAAAGTGAACTCAGAAATCTCCTTGCCTATCTCTATCTTGGCTTGTTATGATTCTGTTCTTTTTGCTGGTGGTGGTGCCTTGTGGCTCCCCTCTGCTGCCAGCTGACCTTTAGTCCCATCCCAGTGGGATATCAGTGGGATGTCCTGCTGCCCAGAGCTGCGGGACTCCCATGTTGCAGTGAGGATGCATGAGACACCAGTGTCAAATGCTCCTTGGTGCTGGCTAAGGTTGAATCCTGGTTCCAGGTTGGGAACTTGCTTAATCCTGGTTTTGGCTTAGCTGAAAGTATCCAAAATGTTGTAGCTGTGGCTTCCAATACAACCTACACAGGGCATTGCCCTGAGTCAGGCAGGCAAAAGAAGCTGGCCAAAAGAGTGTTCGAGCACTTACGTATGTTTAAGTACCCTGATTTAAGGCATGGTGCCTTCTGGAGCGTGAGCAGGTCTGCAGTGTCCCTTTGGCCTAATTTTCATAGCCATGGGAATGCTGTGGGACAGTCTGAGGTTCTCCCCTTGCTTTATGGCCAAGTCATTGCGAGACTCTGTGGCACAGAGAATAGGAAAATACGGGTTCTCATACAGTGCTAATAATTGGCTCTGGATAACAACAACTCCAGAGTTCAACAAACATGGTTTTCTCTCTCAATTTTTATGCCAGTTGCCATGGTAAGCAGGAAGCACAACCCAGGCATTTTCCTAAAGGGAAATTGAAGTCATGAAAGAGGTAGGAAAGGGAGTCAAGCCCTGAGTTAAGCTGCTGAATAGGAAAAAAAAAAAAAAAATTCATTTAACCTGATTATTCATCTGCCTTTTAGGGAGAACAGTTAGCAAGCTGCACTGCAGATATGTCCACTGAGGCTACAAGCACAAGAACACCCCATTTTTTTCTCTCTCTTTGATCCCAGGATGGAATAAGGGACACATAATAAAAATATTCACATCCATAATACAGCTCAGAGATTGGCTCAATGAGAGCCAAGGAACTAAATTAATAATTTGTTTAAGTTCTTGCTTGTCCTTTACAAATCAAAAGAAGTGCATACATGATGCACCAGAGGCCTTCATAGTAACTTCTGTTCCAGTTTGGCTTCTACTGTACAAGCACTGGGGTCACACGGTTTTTTCATACTCTACTCTGAGCTGCTCTGCTTTATCACAGGCAAGGCAGAATTCTGCAGGAGACGTGCTAAATGGGAGGACATGGCTGCACATCACTGAAACTTCAGCCTGTAGAACTAGCAATGGTAACAAAAAAAATTATTTTACCCTTGAAAATTTTAAAACATTTCAAGTAACAGTAATTCTACAGAAATCTCCAAGCCCGCACTTCATTTTCAGAGCTGCAGAGCAATTGCAGATCCCATAACCTCCAATCAGAAAAGAGTGTGGTCAGGCCCTAACCTCAGTCCCCACCAGCAAAGCCCACTCAAACATAGATCAGTGCCCTGGCCACTCACAAAACAAGAGGGGCTTAAACTCCATGTCAGATGATGACAAAAGCATTTGCCCTGAATTCATAAACCAAATACAGAAAAAATTAAAATGTTCCAAAACATCACTAGGGCACAGATCTGTTTTTATAAAAACTCCAGTTTAATCTCATGGCTGAGACCTGGCAAACATCTTTCTTTTGTGGCTGTTGTTTTTCTTTCCTTTTTTTTTTTTTAAACAATCACGCACAGAGGCAGGCAAGTCCACACAGAGAAAAAAGCTTAACAAAACTGCAATTCATCAGAGCTAGCAGGAAAAATCATCACAAAACCAGGGCCAGTGGGATGGAGACAGTCCTCTTCATATTGACCAGCTTCCAGCCCTCGTCTTGACCTGGCAGCAAATAATATTTCAAAGGGGACTGGTGCCTGCAAGCACAAGATCCAAGGTCTGGACTGCTGTATGGAGCCCTCAGAAAGTTCTTGCCTTCTGCTATCCTTCCTTTCTGGGGCTGTTAAAGTCCTACTCCATCTCCAGTCGAACTCAATGGGAAGTTTTCCATTCCTTGCTTGGAGCAGAATTAGTTATCACCAAGCCTTTACATCAGTTAGGAGCAAGCAAAGGTTAAACAAAATAGGGATCAGCTGCAGCTTCTCCTCCACCCCTAGAGGTTTCTAGTTTTCTTTTTCCTAGAGATGGAGAGAAGCAAAAAGGACAACTGCAAAACCTGGGCATGCCTGAAAGGTAGTATATGCTTCAGTAGATTGTTTGCATTTTTAAGGCCTGGGGAGTAGCTTGTGGTGGAAAGCTAAATCAGCCCTTGAACTCTGGTCTCCCCTGATCTTGTCCCTCCTTTCCCAGGACAAGATCCTTCTCAGGAAGGCACATTCAGGCCTTCTGCCCACCACAGATTAACCAGAACTAATTAGCTACTCTGTGAACAAAAAGCTATTTCATCTCACACTCTCAGTGCTGCAAACACAGCAGCAGAAAACAGTTCCATGCATCAGCCCAAGTTTCACAGATGTGTAAAATACTATTTAGGCAATTCCTTCATGTTAATTACATTTCCTTTTTTTAATACATTTACATAGAATGATCTTTTATATATATATATATATAAAATTTAAAAATATTCACCATTATAGGCGTTTCAGAATCCATAAAGAAAAAAAATATATTTTGATTGCACCATTTGGACGCTGGATAAAGGAAAATGTTTCAGGCTTCATGAATGTCTCTAATACAGACTTAAGTTCCTCTGAAGTTCTAAAGGTGAAAAAATAAGTACTTCAGTCTTTCTACAGTGATAGCAAGAGATGGACAGCCCAGAGGACCAGGGTTTGTAAGGTAAAATACCTTATAAAATACCTTCATTTTTGTTTACTCTCCTGCCAGTGAGGCAGCTCCCACACGAGCTAACATTATCCATGTCCCTCCTTCCCATCAGGGATTCTCCCCTTTGCCAGCTCAGCCATTTCACTCTGAGCTACGTTTAAGAGAAGCTGCACCAACCCCCTGACTACATGGGAAGAATAAGTGAAATTTACTCACTTTTCTTCCACTTGTAAAAGCCCACCAGCAACACATGCTGGGGATACTTTGTCGTGTCTGATACTGGGGCCATCTGCAAACTGGGGAACAGCCTTTACTTTAGTCTCAGGAGAACTGAAATGTACTGCAGGGTCCCTGACATGATCCTTGTGGAGCTGCAGATGATGAGCCAATCTATTTAGGAAAGTCCTTTCAATAATACCAATCTTAGCTCTCCAGGGCCAGACTCATCTCCCATAAATCCCATCTCTCCCTCTTCATAATGCTTCACAGATAAACAAAGGAAAAACAGAAACACAACCCCCAAACAAACAAACCAACAAACTAAAACAATAAAAACCAAACCCAAAACCAAGGAGAAAAAACACAAGAAAGAAGAAAGTCCTTTCTTAAAGAGATCAGATCTGACCCTGAATCTGACATCAGGGATATCTTAGTAAAGCTGAATCTCAGGACGCTTCAGCCACCCAGTCCCATTCAATGGGAGGTGGCATCTGTCTTCTGGCCCTGTCCAGCTCCCAAGCTCTGGTCCTTCAAGCTGACTGCAGGTACCAGAATCAGCATGGATCCATCATCAAGCTTTACTGACTCTGCAGAAGGCTGAGTCTGGAGCTGACAACAATTACACCTGTGCAACAGCGCACCTTGCAACTAGGAACATGATTTCATCTCTGCAGGACCTGGGGCTTTATTTTAAGTGCTCTGGATACATCAGCTGAAGGCTGGAGAAATTGTAGATAGGAAATGGGATCAAGCTACAAAATAAAGATATCATTGCAGCATCTAAGCTTAATTAAAATCCAGGACCCAGATCTGAGTTCAAATTCTGAAACACCCTTAAAAAGTATAGTCTGGATACAGATTTTAGTTGAGGCTGATCTTTAATATCAAGTCATGACTTCTAATAATTTTTCTTTTGCAGGAGTTTCACCATTTATGCCAAAAGCGCTATTACTTACTGGAATGCTGTTAAGAGTTGAGACAGTGTATTATATACAAATTGCCAGACCTCATTTCTTGTTCATAGATCAGCTTATATGAGAATAAAGAGGGGGGGAAAATGGTTTTAACATGCCAAGGTTTTCATCACATTTTCTTTTCCTTCTGATGCATTACTTTGTGAGCTTCTCTAGCTCCCTTCCAGGTGCCTTGGCAGTCAAAACTTCTAGGAACTGAGATACTACAAATCCTTGTCCAAAGTAAACTATTTTGTTGACACCAAAAAAACCCTTGGGCATCATTTCCACAACTTTTACTTCCTCTAAAACCTTACCACAATACCTCATATCACACCTTCCCTTTGTCATTAACCCAGCCACGGTGATTAAAAGCTTTCTCATGAGGCAGTGCCATGTAAATGCAGTGTGGAGCTGTGCTAACCATGGAGGAGCATGAAGGACTGGAAATTCCCTAGTTTTAATAAGAGGCTGCACACGCAAATTATGGTCTGTGAGTAGAATAATACAATTGTCATGAAGCTGCATATTCTGGGCCTGCTGTCCACAGCTTGCCCAGGTAAAGCATAGGCTGCTGCCTGTGAAAGAGCACGGACCCAAACAAGAACTCCAGGCTCTCATCTGGTTTAATAATCTCCCTCAACAAAACTGACAGCACAGACTTAGTTCTCTGCTCTGTTCCCATGTGGGACTATACACAAATAAAGAGTGCAGTAGGGAGAATCAAAGACTGCAGCTGGTGACAAGGAAAAGCCCTCTTGCATTTTCACACTCCCTTTGGAAATGGAAGGAGAAAATTCTGCTGAAGATATATTCCTTGCATTTGTGGACCCATAACTTCTCAAAAATACTGCGGCATATCTCTCCTTTAGCAATCAGAGTTCAGAGAAAGCAGACTGTATGGGGCCCTCCAGCCACAATGGCACTACTAAAGTGGCACAGTCAGTACAGACTAGGAGCTCATGGGTTTAGTTTACTAATCATTGGAAATTGCCAGTATTTCACCAAACAAAGCCCTAAACACACATCTTTTGGAAAATTCTGGCTGACAGTCATTGTGGTGGCTATAGCACTTCCTAACAGTTTACTGCTTAAACTATAGCCCATCACACCCATCTGAGGGCCTGCAGACTCAGACATCTCCAGGAAAGACGGCCCCTGCAAGCACATTACAGGGACAATCTCAGAGCTGGCAGCAACACCTGTGCTCCTGTCTCCTCCGCAGTCACCAGTGACACTTAAATTGCAGAGACAGCACAGGCTGTACCCGACTTTGCCATCGCCCACAGCCATAGATCAGACAATAGACAAGCCTGTGGTGAATGCAGAGTTAGAGGCTCTATAAAGGAAGCTTCAGTTCTATTCCCATGGCAGCCGTTGCATATCTGAACACCTATTTGCCTGTAACACTAATGTTCCCTTCAGGAGAGAGTTTAATTCACCTCAGATTCCCCTCTCAGGACTTGTTCATGATCTGTTCTGCAGTCCCACAAATCATCCTCTTTACCATACTCTTAATCAGTCTGAAGGCACTGAGGTCCAGGGAGGTGGCAACCAGCCATACTCTCAAAGAAACAGTGTAAAATCATAGGAGATAAAATTTAAATGGAGAAGAAGCACCTGGGGACATGCCACACAGTGGCAGTGAAAGACCAAGGGTCAAAGATATGTCAGGGTGCAAGAGGGCAATACCCCAAGGAGATAAGAAGATCCTCTTGCTTTTGTCTGCTGTTGGCAGTGTGGAGCTCAGCTGGAGATAGCTGCAGAGGTGTCATCTGGCTTTAAGCAATGATGAAAAGAGTTGATACTGACCTTGGTTATGACCTTGCCTTGGCTTTCACTGCTTTCAGCTTGAGGGGTCTCTACCGCTGGGCAGCCAGCTGCACACTCATTCCTCAGCCACACGGATCTTGTGTGCCCAAGGAAGGAGTGACTGAGCACACAAAGCTCATGAGGAAGACCTTGGAAGACTGAAGGAACAGCTAGGCATTTCCTGTCCATCTGCTTTCATTCCAGCCCCTGCACATGCTGGAAAGAGCACATCTCTGATCCAAGGAGAGAACTGGAGGCGGCGCCTTCAGGTAGCATGTTTATCACTGTGAACATCCTTGGGTGTCTCACACCCTATGTGGTTTGCTCGTGCCAGCTTCACCTTCCTCTTCAGCTACCCTCAGCCTCCTGCACTGTTTATTTACACAATGTAAATCAGAAAGTCCTTCACTGGTGTCTGGGAAATAATGGTAGGAGTTCCCAAACATCTGGACTTACCTCCTCAGCAGATCTGCCTCTGCACCCTGAGCTGCACTGTTTTGTAACAATGTTTTCTCTCAGCCCTATTTCCTAATTATACAGAGATTTACTTTTCCTTTTTTCCATAGGGAGGATGAGACAGGGCTTAGCAGAAAACAGGTGTGAGAAATGCAAGTTCCCTGGGACCGGCTTACCATAAAAAGAAACAGACAGTGAGGGAGGAGTAACAAGGGGAATGAAAAGCCAGACAAAGATACTATGACCTTCCACAGCAAAAGCTTTGCAGGAAACCATAAAGGATTCAGGTCCATCTTGAACAGAGTAGTTTTAACAACAGCAAAATGGCAACAGAGTTGGTCTTGGACACTCCCATTCCAACCATCACAGGAAAGGAATAGGAGGAGCAGCTGCTACTCAATCTGCCTCCCACTTCGTCCATCCAGAATCACAGAGCGCCTCTGGGGCTGGTAGAAGCAGCTGGTAGAGGTCTCCAGTCTCTGGCCGTTCTTGGGGATGGTCATTTTGTTCCTCAGCGTCACGCCCTCAGGCGTTGTCCGCGCAGGGTCGGACAGATCGCCGCAAATGGGGCTCAGAGAGGTGGTCTGAGTGGGGCTCCTGATGGGTGACAACAGTACCCTGGAGTCTGCTGAGGAGGCAGGGTGGTCCATGATGGGGAAAGGGGGACTGAAGAGAATCAGACTCTGGGGCCTCCCAGGCCTGGATCTGTAGGAGGGTTTGGAGAACCCTGATGGCCTCTCTATCTTTGAAGACTGTGGGTTATCTCCAGCTGTCTCCCCGCCAGAGGTGCGCTTTCGGCGCAGAACAGGGGCGTCCGGAGCAGGGTGATGACTGGGCTGAGACGACTCCAGTGGAGAGCCCAGGAGAGTGCCATGCCAAGGACAGGCTGAGTCCTTTTGAGCAGGGTCACTATTTTCTTTCTCTGCTTTGGCCTTCTTCTCTGCCAGCGGGCTCTTGGGGGCCTCCAGGTGGCTCCATGCCACCCGTGGAGCTTGCCTGATGGCCTGCTTGGCTTCTGCTTCCTTCTTCTCAGCGGCTGGAGCAGCATTCTGAGCCTGCAGGGGCTGGGGGATCTGGGTGTACTGAATCTTGGGCGGTATCACGGGCACCGCTCTAGCCTGGCACATCTTAATCATGAAGGAGGTCCTGACTGCTGACACGCTGACGGGGGCAGAGTTACGACGGCCGGTGTTGGCATGGGCCACTGCCAGGTAATCCAAGTCTAGATCCACAGGGGCATTGAAACGAGAGCCCCAGGGAACACCCCTACTGGCAGCAGGGCAGTGTGTCGGCAGGGATGGGACAGAATCACTGGTTTTTACTTCCTTCTGCCCATACAGGAGGTTCCCAGGGGCGGATGGCATGGACAGGCTCTCAAATGTGAAGAAATCTGGGGCTGGGAGGAGTGAATCCAAGTTGAGGGATGAAGGCCTGGTCTTAACCTTGTGAGGTGTTTCTTCACCTTTATTACTCAGCTGTGACTCAGTGGCAGAACACAATGCTTTGGTGACAGTCTCTCCTCCCAGCGCAGTGTCCTGAGGGATGGACAACTCCTCCTTCATGTTCTTAGTCTCTGAAAAACTGCCTGGGCTATTTTGGCATGGCAAGGACAACTGAAGCTTTGGGCTCCAAGGGTTTTCTTTGCTCACATGCACTGTCTTTCCCTCTGTCTCCAAAAGAGGGACTATGGAGGGTCCTGCTTTCTCACCTGGTGCTTTCTCCCTGATAAGGGAATACTCAGGTTTTGAAGGCTCTTCTGGAGGACTCGAGCCATTCTCATCTTGCACAGCTTTGCCCAAACTAGAGGGGGACATGGGTTGTGTTTTGGACAGCTCACAAGGCACTGAATGCAGAATGTCACCGCATGGCTGCTGCTGGTCAGTGGCATCTATGAAGGTGAATGGGGTAGTCCACAGACTCAGCACTGTATCTTTACTGTCCAGGGAGAGGCTGCGACTGAACCGTGGTCTAAGAGAAAGGCCAGTCTCTGTTCTCTGGCTCTGTGGGTGAAACTCCTGGGTCATCTTCTCCTGAATGTCCTTAAAGGTGGGGGAATGGAGTGGGCTTGTAACCCACTGGTGATCCTCCCAAGGCTCCACAAGTTCTAAGCTCTGCACGTTATCTGTCCAGGCATCCTCATCATCCTGGTCAGCAGCATCCTGGGTTCTGCTAACAGCATTGCCTTCCTTCACCTCCTGGATTCCAGCTCCACTCAGTGCCTTGGAGGAGAATGTGTCCCTTTCATCAGTAGTCATTGTCTCATGCTTCTCCCTCTGAGTCTGGACTCTGGTAAGGCCATCTTTTTCCCTCTGGAGCTGATAAGCACCATCTTTTTCTTTCCCTGATTCTGGACATGCTCCTTTGGAACAAGATAATCCATCACTAGTGGCAATCTCACTAAATTCTGATTGACTATGAAGCTTCCAGTCCATGGTAGGGGTGAGACATTCACTCCTGCTCTCCACCATTGACTGGTGGTTCTTCGGATTGGCGGAGCCCGTTGGAAGAGTGCCCTGTTTGGGTGGGGCTGAAGCACCACTGTGCTGTGCAGCCACATCAGACTGGCAGCTGGGAAGGCTGTCTTGTTTCTCCATGCCACTGGCACCAAATAAAGGCACCTGAGTTATCTGCGATGCTCTGCTTTCAGATTTCTGCTCAGCCAGTGTTGGACTTTGCCCTGGGCCAGAGGAAGGACTATCTGTTTGTAGTGAAGAAGAGGATTCGGAAATTGGGATTGTCTTGGGGACAGCTGCTGGCAAGAGCAAGAGCTCCTCTTCAGGTTCAATAATTTTCAGTTCCTGCTGTATCTCTGGCCACAGCGGTTCTAGAAGGGCATTCGCCGGGCCCTCCTCTGATGTCTGAAAAACAGAAGAAATGCCATCACCTGGCAGCTCACAAAACACCAGTAAATACCCCTCCATCTTCCCCAAACAGCCCCCCTAGAATAGCCAGGCTCCTGGATGAGCACACTCATGGGTACAGAAACACAGACACACAGACTGCTACCAGTTCAAGGATGAAAATACATCTCTAAACAAGAGGGTTTATGGAGGAGAAGGTCTGAGGTGCAGCCAAAAGGAGGCCTGGACAGACATACTGAAATAGTGAGCTGAATGAGTAGCTGGAATGTTCCAGCCCATTTCTCAGCAATTCCCATTCAGGCTCACTTGGCCTTGCCAGAGAATATGCATTCCCAAACTGCACACAAACTCAAATGAATAATCTATTCAAGGAGATATGCCAACAGATCTTTAAATAGCTGACCAGAGATGAGTATAGCTGTAAGAAACTTGATGAAAAGGCTTTGCTAGAGATACAGAGGAGGCAAAAAATAGTAAGAATTAAAAAAATAAAATTATGTGTAGAGAATGGAAGTAAAAAAGAACTTTTCAGGCTGTCCAGAACAAATGAGATAGCAAAAATAGAAGGGGAATTCAGAGACCATAGGTCAAAATGCTCAGACATCCGGACAGTCTCACATCTGGAGTGTCTCAGAGCAGACAGATGGTACAGACTGAAATTGAACAGTTACAGGAAAAGATGACCAAAGGGTACAGTAGGTAGTTACTTCAAGGTAAATCACCACATGGCAATTCCACAGAAGTGAAATAAATCAATTCATGGTCAATTATTGGTGCTGCTTTGCCTAAGTAATAGACTGAGTGTTCTCAAATACAGACACACAATGAAACTTTAAGCAACCTCCCAATTACTACCACAACATGGTCCCCCACCTTTCTCATGCCTTCTTCCTTACCTCATCTCTTATGCGCGATCCTTCTTCTGTCTTGGCCATCTCAATCTCCTGTTGGTCACAGCTGCCTTCTGAGGAGGCATCCCTCACCTTGAGCTGTCCTTGCTCTGCTTTGCCTGCTGGGTGTGGTCCCTTATGGACCACATCTGAAGCTGGTGTTTGTTCCAAGGTGGGACTCTGCTCTGAGGCCTGCTGGGGGCCGCTAGCGCTGCTTGTGTAGCTGCTTTGCCCACACATCTCCTGATTTTCTGCTGCTGGCTGTGGCGTTTCTAAGGACTCAGGTTTCCTGGCTGCCACCAGCTCCTCAGGATGAGACCCTGGATCAGAAACACAAACAAATGTAACTACTTGAGACTGAAAACTTGCGCCCTGGGACACAGCAGTGCTGCCAAGAGCCAACACCAACTAACAAAGCTAAAGAGCTCCCTCCAGGCACAACCAGATCTTTCTGGGAGGTCACCCACCTCCCCAGGCTCCTTACTGCAACAAGCACCCCCCTGACCTGCTATCAAATCAACACCCACCCTGCTACAGGTTGGTTTCTTTCCTGCCACAAGCTCAGACTGGAGAAACCTCCACACCACCAAGCTGCAGAGCACTTCCAGCAGCCCAACTGAGGATCCACGCCCCCCTCCTTAACACAATTTACCTCTGGATGCTGCCACTGGCAGAGCTGGCCCCGGCTGTTTCTCCTTGCGCTCTGCTGCCTGCTCTGTTCTTGTGTGGGTCCCTGCCTCCAGAGCAGAGGGGCTCGTGCTCTCCACCAGAGAAGACAGCTCCTCTAGACTGGAAAGGGAATGCTTCTCCTTGGTGGGCACGCGGCAGGGTGTGCTGTTGGTGCTGATGACTGCAGAAACCCTCAGCGGGACAGAGACAGCAAATGGCTCCGAGATGTTCAGGGCTTTCCTCTGGTGATGAGGGGAGGCCTCCAGGGGAAAGAGGCTGCTTGGGAAGCCTGACTTGGTGGCTGTTTCAGAGGTGTAGAACATGAGCACTCCTTTGGCTGAAATCTGCTCGTTTTCAGCATCCTCTGTTACCCGGAAAACCTTCAGTTGCTCAGGAGGTGACTTCACCTGCGGTGTCCGGGGAAGACCCTTCTCCCCACCCAGCTCTGAACTTCCTTTAGCCCCTATGGCAGAGCCTTCTCGCTCCCACTCATTCTCCTTGCTGAGGTCATATGAGCTGCCTGTGCCTCCTGTTCGTATCTTGGTGGGAACAAAGAATCCTCCAGTAGTCACTGACCGTTTGAACCTGCTTTTGTCATCCTCCCCTAGAGATGGGAACATAGGAGCAAGTCAGTGGGAAGCAATGCACTAGCAAACAAACTTCCTCTGTGAGGAGCCCTCCTCAATCCTTCCAGGGATGAGTCCTGCCCTGGTGAACACTCACATTTCCCCAGACAGATGTAGACAATAGACACTGAAGACCTTCTATGCTCTAGCCCTAGGGTTTCCTTCAAAATGGGCAGGCAGCACGGGACTGAATGCCCTCCAGTGGAAATCAGCTCAGACTTTTATTAGACACTCTTCTCCATCAGATGCACCAAGATCTAGGGCTATCACATACTGCCCACAATGCACACACCTTTGTCAGCTTTTTGTAAGCCTTTTTCATCTACAAATGGGATTTTTGTGCCCAGAATAACTGAGAAAGAAACCAAAGCAGTTCAACTGCCAATAAAGGTGCAGCTAAATACAGTGGTAACTCTCAGGTGGATGCACTGAGATAAACAACACAGAAAAGAGTCAAAAATGCAGGGACACAGAGGTGGGGACACATGCCAGCAACCCCGGCATAAGTATACAGAGATTTACATCACGGTGAGATAGACACAGACTGCTCATCCATTGAGGGTGGTAAGGCACTGGAACAGGCTGTCCAGAGAAGTTGTGGATGACCCATCCCTGGAAGTGTTCAAAGCTTGTTCAAGTGTTGGTACCACCTGGTGTAGTGGAAGGTGTCCCTGCCCATGGCATGGGTGTTGGAGATTTCTAAAGTCCCTTTCAAGCCAAACCATTCTGGGATTCTGTGATCCATGCTGCTGAAAATGCAGAGCTGCAATCCTTCCCCCTTACAGCATAGGCAGGCTATGGATGTCTCACCTTCCACTGGCAGGGAACACAGCGAGTCCATGCTCTTTGCAGGCCGAATAGTTGCTTTTTCTGTGGGAAAAGGGTTTTAGAAGCAGGTATCAGATCCTGCGGCTTTGCAGGCTTCAGCCCATGAAGATCAAAGGCTGCATACATACAGACAGGCATGCCAGGCAGACACTTTCCATTTCCAAGCATTCCCCCATGTATCTACACCACATGGCTTATTACCCACAACACTTGTCCACACAGCTGGGGATCTGCTAGTGCTAACAACAGCTTTGCACCTGCTGGACATGTGGAGAGCTATACTTAACCCAGCCAGTCAACACCACCTCCACTGTGAAGCAGTTAAGCATCCCCAAAGCTGTCATGTGCCACTCCCCTCCCCAACTTAGTCAGGCTATTGGTTGTAGGGGACTTTTTAACTAAACTGACATCAATGCCTTCTCACCTCTCACTCCTGATAGCAAATGTTGGGCTATTTTTACGTTGCACTACTGGCTCTTTTGCTGATGTGAGCATACCCTGCCTCCAGCAAGAACTCTGGGAAATTTCTGAGGGCAGTAAGCAACCTATTTTGCTGGCCATCGTCACTGGACTCACTTGTCCAGAAACAAGCTGTCATTTGTTACTATACACTCTACAGGTCTGTTCTTGAGAGGTTTTGGAAGCTTACAGCTGTTACTGCTCTGAAAAAGGAAGGGAGGTGGGGAAATGTAACTGGCAAGGAAGACAAGTTAGTCTCTGGCAGCCCAAAAAGGGTCCATGGAGATCTGGAAAATGTCTGGGAGTAAAGTTTGCTGTTTACAGAGTTGCACAAAGTAGGTAAAGCAGAAAGTCAGAAGGCTTGTTGGACTTCATCTGTTTATATAATTGAGGCTTCTGCCTCTGTCTCTCACATGAGTGTAGGAGAAAGTCCAGCTACTTTTTACACTTATACGGAGCCCTGGCTACTTTCTACATTCATAAGACGTGATGTCTTGAGCACTGTTTCTGCTTTCCAGGAGGAACAGAATTCAAGCTGGGGAGCTGTGTAAGTCACATTTTATGTGACTTACAGATCTGTGTGCACAGACTCAAGCTGTGCTAAAGCATTGCTGAGTTTTAGCAGCAACTTCATCTGTTCCCTCACATTAGGCTGTAAGCAGAGAGCACTGAAAAATGTAACACAGCAGCACAGAAGTGCTGCTGCTGAAAGGTACTGCTTCAGTGCTGAAAACTCTGTGCACAGCTGTGCATTTGTGTGTCCTGCTGGTGAAAATGTCCAGCCCCCTGTCACTCAGTACTGTCCTTGGAACAAGGATCACTGGGGCTGCCATCATTCCTGTGCCTCCTTGGGTTAGCGCTATTTTGAGACAGAGTATTCCTTATGCAGGTGAGAAGGTGATCCCGTGATGAAAATGGGATAGAGAGCAATGTTGAAGTCTGTCATGGGCACACTGTGTGAGGCCATCTGTACATGCACACATGGGGAAGGCAGGGCTCCAAAAAGAACTGGGTCCAGCATTTGGCTTCACACTCATTTCTGATCCAAATACAGCCTGTTATATGTGGTGGTAGCTAATCTTGCCGATATTAACTATTTTATTTGAAGTCTTGCACTGTTAGGTAGTGGTCCTCCAAACACCAACTCCTGGAGTAATGAGATTATATAAAGAAAAAATCCACCTTCATCTCCCTATAGAAAATAAATTCCTTGACTTGGAGATACAAAAAAAAAATCTAGAACATATAAACCCAAAATATTTATTTATGAATTCAAGTTAAAAGGGTATGCTTTCTTTTTAAAAATGTGGTTACTTTTAAGTCAAGTTCTTGATTTTTAGAGCTTGAGTCATCATTTCTTAACACTGGGAACTGGCACTGCCATGTGATTTTCTAGGAAGCAGAGTGTTTAAGAGATTGCAGCCCAGGAGAGTTTATAACTTGGGATTACAGCCAGGAGAAAAGACAACTTCTCTCTTGTAAATTCTGCAAAAGCAATGGCTTCTCTCAAAGTGCCGAGAGACAGAGTTGAAGGCACTCCTGGTGCCTTGTTTTTCACAAAGACACTGAATGCAGTTGGTTCTTTAATGTCCTTTAGTGGAAGGACAGCCTAGAAGGACAGCCATTCACCCAGTGCCATGAAATGAGCCTTAGGAGACAGAGACTGGCTGGGCTGGAAGAGTGGACTAATCCAAATCTACATAACATTTCCTAGTCCCCAGGCTTGACAGCTGGACAACAGGAGCCTGTTTATCAGGTACCAAAATGTAATATTTACTGTAGCTGTCTGTCAAATCCTCCTGGAAGGCTGTTTCTTGCCATCAGAGGAATATGAGATGTGTGTGAAACCGGGCAACAAGCACAACTCCATCAGACTATCTCAAGTCTATGGCATTAGTGGCAAGTGGACACAGGTCATCCCATGCTACCAACAACACAAGAGAAAGCCTCAGAGTGAAACATTCAGCTGAAAAGTGTGTTCTTACCAGAGAGCTTCTGTGCCCTTACAAAGACACTCCCATTTCGACTCAGTTTAGACTTTGATTCTGAGCCAGAGCGGCCCAAATTAAATATTGACTTCCATTTCTTGGACTTGGTGGATAATTTCCTCCTGGAAGGAAAAAAGGCTCAGATGGTCACCAAACCTTAGAGACTTTTACCTTTTTAATACCCTCCAAATGCCTCTGAGCTGCCTCCCCTCAACACTTTCCATTTTTTGCTTCTCACACCTCTTTTAATTCTAAAGCATACAAGGCATAGCTATACAACCAACCCTTGTGGGCTATATAGATAGCAATCATCCTGTAAGTGATTTATCTATACTGCTGATTTAACTATTTCATGGATGGAAAGACACCTAAGCCTGCAGATAGTTGGCTCTGGCATCCTGCTAAGAGCAACAGTGATTGAGCAATCAACCACGCTTGTCTCCAGAAAGGAGAGGTTTCCAAGGCTCAGACTATCCTTCAATAAAGCAAAGGAAAATTGCCTTTTTAACAGGTTTTAATGGCACAATGTGTGATAAATTCCAGGGAACTGATGGAACCGGTACCATTTCTCAGTGCACAAAGTAATGCTTTAAAGACCATGTCATATGGCAAAAATAGAAGAATTCCTTAATAAAAACTAGCTATTAATGCTTCTCAGGACAATATTAATTTAATCATAGGTGTTATATATTCATATGCAAGTATAATGTACTAACCAAACAGGAAGAGGTTTAAGGGAATTAAATCAATTTCTTGTAACTGTCAGAGGAAGTGGGACACCAGTTCCCCATGTCTCTTCGGAAATCCCAGCTTTTGCAGAAAGAAGCTGCCTGTTCTAATGCAATTTTTTCTTGTATACATGTTTCTTCATGAAGCTCTGTTTCACTTCCTTCATAGTCATTCTGACTCCTCCTCCAATCTTCCCTCTTTCAGAGCAAGAATTCTCTTATCTCCCTGTCTCGCTCTCCACATTGGGCTTTCTATCCCCTTATTTCTGATTGTCTTTCTGATCAGTACACAGAGAAGTACAAATCAGTCCTACAAAGGGGATTAATATCTTGGGGATAGGACTTTTGTCTTCAAATGAGAAAAGAGAAGGCACTCCAGAGGGACAATACATCCTTTTGTCTTAAGCTGGTTATCCTCTTGCCAGTATTCTGTTAGATGACTCCTTTTTGCTTTAATATATCAAGTGCCAATAAATATCTTTGTTCTGGTGCTTTCTGGGTCAGTAGATTAATGAGCCTCCTGCTGCAGAGGCTATAATCTATTAGAACCAGGCAGTAGAGTGGCTATATTTTAACAGATAGATAGACCAAGAGATAAATACTTATTCTGGGCAGCTGTGCCAACAACTGCAGCAACCTCAGCTGAAAGTGGACTCTTCTCCTGGCACAGACGTAGCTGGCATAGGTGCCACTATGTAAATATCTCTCCATGCTGGAAGTGAAAATGAGCCTTCCTGCTTGGCTGTAATTGCAGAGGAACCAGGAGAATGAAGAAGCTGGAGCAGGCATGTGGCACCAGGCATGTCCTAGACCAGCCACCAGCAGGTGGAACTCGTAGATGAGCTGAGCCCCAACCTGCTCCACTCTCATCTCGTGTTTAGCCAACTTCTGAGCTGGCACAAGGATTGCAAACACAATTCACTCCTCCTGCAGGAGGTCTGTGAGGTTCTGCCCTGATGGAGAGATGGGAACCAGTGAACCTATGGACCCAGCACCTGCAATACTTCTCAGGAGAAGCTCTGCCTCTTTTGTGAAAGACACAGCATTATCTTTGGATAGTGGCTGTAGAATCAGATGAGTGCAGATGTGGGAGTATCACATTAACAAAAGCATCATTCCCAATCAAACTGAGGAACCTGCACTTTTTTGTTTGTGCTTTACACTCCTCTTGGCACTTACTTGCTGTCAGGAAGGTCAACAACTGTGTGGAAGAGGGACCCAATTACAGGCACAATTTCAGGCAAGCTGTTCTCTCTCCTCTCCTTCCGAGCAGGGTGGGATGCAGACAGACTCCGTGCCTGGGCTTCTTCTAGGCTCACCAGTTTCATCGGCAGGGAGGCCGAGGGGAGGGTCAAACTTTTCACAACTGATGTGCTCTCTGAAAAAAAAGAAAATACATTCCAGCCTGGGGTGAGGAAGAGAGACCAGAGTAAGAGCTTCATGGCTTTATTTGACTGGAACACCTCCTGTGGAGGGGGGAAAGAAGTGGCACGTGCAAGGAGAAAGGCTTTTTGTCAGATAAGCCTTTCAGCTCCCCAGCAACCTTATCCATCTGAGTACATTCCCAGCAGGGGCCACGCTTGCCAGCCAAAGGCTGTGTTGTGTGGATTTGCTTCCTCTGCCGTAGATGTTTCTGTGTGAAGGAGGTGTCTCTGAAAACCACCAGGATTCACACCTTCCCTTTACTCCTCCCTCACTCCCTTCCACCATTTCACCCTTACCCTCCCCCAGTTTTGAAGCAGTTCAGTCCTTGATCCAAATTTGGTGCCTAGTTCTTTCTCTCACTTCCACGTCTTTCTCCTTGTCTTGTTCCAGGACAGGGGGTTGTTCTAAAAACCAGCATTACTTTAACTTTCTAATCCATTTCATGGCCAGAGACATCAGTGTCACTGGCAGCCCAGGGAACTGAAAGTGTCTGTTTATGGGGGCAGGGGCAAAGCCATGTTAAGGTAAGGGCAGAATGATGGGCAGAATGAGCTGACACAGGGCTGCAAAGCAGAAAGGTGGATACTGCCTGAGTACTGAAGGTATCAGAAGTCTGTCAAATGTGTAAAATGGGAAAGTGCATATTTCTGAAATTATGTGAGGTCACTGTGGATCCATGCCTTCTCACTTCCCAGTCTTTGCCAACAAAACCATCACTAAACCGCAAAATCAGCATCTCTGAAAACTATTGATGTCCTAAGAAAAAAATAAATCTCTTTTATAAAATGTCCTCAAGAACAAGATATAAGTTTTTGGAACACAAGATTAATTTTTTTGCCAGGAGTGCCTGGGAGTGTGACCTCTGACTTGGGTGGAAATAGTGGCTGCAGGGCAGGTATTGCTGGTATGAGGAATTGTAACTGGGGGAATCTGAGAGAATAGCCGAGACTGTGGCTGCTGGACTTAGGCAGAAAGCTTAGACCTAGACTGAGAATCAATCACGTGAACTTCCTTTTGTGGAAAGGGTTAAGCCACATGAGATCATGCAAAAGATGAGACATAAGGAAACCTGAGAAAACGCTGAAGGGGGCTAGTAGTCAAAAAGAAAATGTTGAAGACAGGGGTGAAGAAGGCAAGAGCAATGAGATATTGGGCTCAAGGTGTTTTTGGGGAAGTCTGTGGTGATAGCAAGGGCTACTGTGCTTGTAATATTAGTTGAAGTGAGAGCTGAACTACATAGCAAGTGACATGGGAGGTGGCACAGGGAGGTTGCTACCAATGTTCTCTGCAGAGCTGGCTTTCCTGTTGTTGTTGAAGATCTGATCCACGTGGTTCAGGATGAACTCGATCACCAGTTGCTGCACTCGCACCTCCAGGAAAGCTGCATCCCCATTGCAGCCAACTGCCTCAATCTCCTTTGACCTGCATGAGGAAAGAGGGGTACCAGTAGTGAGCATTGCCACACACAGCCCCTGGCAAGGACAGACCAGATTTCTTCCTGCAAGCAAGGCAACTGGGATGATTTCCCCACTCCTGCTGTACCTCTTCCTCTCCTTCCCTCACAGGCCCTCATCCTCTCTTTGTCTTTTCACTCTTTTAAAAATCATTTTCTCTATTTCCTTGCCACCTCTGTTACTTTCTTTCCTGAATTTGTTATTTTCCCCACTCAGCTTTTACATTCTTCAGCAGGTAAAACTGTGACTCTCAAGTTCTTCTCCCTTTTTCCTGTTTTAGCTATTTCAAGGCTGGGCCTGAAAGACAACACAGGAGCCTTCAAATGCTGCTTCTAGATCCCTGCTCAATGCTTCAGTCACCTCTCAGTAAAATCCTTTAAACCCTGCTCAGGTCTTCCCCATGCCAATTTCTTCAACACTTTTGCCGTGTGCCCCAATAGTCTCTTCTCTGCCCCCCTTGTGCTCCCACATTCTCAATCTTGCTCTCAGCAGAGGAACATTCCTTATCTTGACATGCCAAAGTGTTGCTGAAGAAATTATCTTTGGGCAATGGATCCTTTGTAAAGTTAATGACTGGTGTGTTAGATAACAGCTTGGGGCATAGCCAAGAGGATAACCCTGTAAGGAGACTGCAGTTGCATTGCTTGCTCCTTTCTTTTCCTCCCTGGGACTTGTACCTATGAAAGATTGCAAAGGAAAAACAGACTTCATTTTTTTTTTTTTTTTTTTTTTTTTACAAGGATAGATGCTAGAATGAAAATGTCTCAGTAGTAAAGGCTCAATTTATGATATTCAATAGAGTCAACATTTGATTCATTTTCAGAACCTACTCTGCCTTTTTTGGGATTCAGAAGGGTGAGATAACTCTTCAGAGCATGCTTTTCAGGCCCGTACCTCTCTAGGCAAGGCTCTCTGCCAGCCCAGGGGTAACCTGATGGTCTGCCATCACCCCCTCTCCTGCCCAGCTGCAGTCCTGGACTCTCCCTGCATAGTTCATTCCTCTAAATGCAGGGGTATTGGATGGATGGAAAGGGAGTTTCGACAAGATACAAAATATTTATTTTTTTTTCCCCAGATGCTATTTTTCCTTGTTCTGCTTAGCTCTACAACATAGCAGCCAAACCCCTGCCTGCAACCAATCCAGGCTTCTTCACAGCAGAGTGCCAGACATAACAAATATGAAAAACTAGCTGGTGGTCTTGAGATCTGACACTGGCTGCCATTTCAAGCCCAGCAAGCTCATCTCATTTTTGTACAAGCAGATCTGGCAACAGGTCTGTAGTATTATTGCCCTGTTTCTCTCCCTTCTGATCCTTGCTGTCTCTCGTTGCCCTGCTGCAGAAGCACTGGCACCATCAAAAATGTCATTAACATTCCCAAGTGATGAGTTAAGTCCTCGTTTCTAAATCTATGCTCAACTTGCAAATAACAACTTTTGTTTAATAAGAAACACACAAACCCACAAGCTTCCTTGGATGCTGGCAGTAAAACTTTAAACTATTCAACCTGGAAGAAAAGCTGTTTGCTCTGCTATGCTCTTCCCTCTAGCTGTTCAACTTTTTCCTGTCTTTGCATTTCCCTCAGGTGATGATGGGTCAGCAGGCTCAGATGCTGCCACTGCCCTTGGAGCTCATCATGGGGCTCTGGATTAGAGGAATCTCTACAGTACCTGAGGAGATTTGGAGCCCACACCAAGGCCAGGTTTCTGGTGTGCATGTTGGTCATGTTGCTGAAGGAGGCCAGGTGAGTCAGGTGCTTGATCAGGTATTCCAATGTCCTGCAGGGGTTTCACACAAAGAAAGAAAAATGTGTCACGTTACCAGCACCTGCCTGCTGGGCCAGCACGGCTTAGAGCCAGCCCTGTCCCCTCCCGAGTGTCTGCAATGGCACAACAGAGCCCATGGGGCAGAGGTTTCACAGTGCCAGCATTTGCATGGGATGGCAGTGAATACCTGAACAGCTGTGCTCTGGGGTGGCCAAGGGTGGGGCATGAACCAAACTATCCTCAGCATGATGGGAGCAAAGAAGACGAGAGATGGGCACCTCCAAGCACCTCCAGCAGATCATCTTCTCCTTACCACCCCCAGGACACTGCCCAAGGGTGCCACAGCGGTCATACTCAGGGAAGGAGGACGGTAAGACTGCAGCAGGGAGACCTTGTTCTGTCTCTAACAAAGGTTTGCTCAATGATATTTAAATGCCAGATAAATTGTTGCCATATTTGGAAATGGTGAGTCAGCTTTTGGAAATTGATTTCTGGAAATGAATCCCAGAGCTATTTCAGGCAATATTCCCTGGTGAGGGTGAGGTCACCACGCTGATCCTCAGCACCTCTGTGGACACAATCTTACCTGTAATGTGATGGTGGGAGCTCCTGGATGACATTTTGAATTCGTGCCAGCTGCTCGTCCTCGGGGAAGCGTGACACTGCTTCCTGCAGGGACACAAGGAAACAGTACACCCTGCCAATGGACTCAGGGGAAAAGGAAGAGGGATAAGAAGGGTCACACGAGACACCCTGTCTCAAAGGGAATGCTCTCTTGTTACCCTACCCAGCACAGCAGAGATTTCCTGCACTGTTATTCCATGTCTCAGAACACCATGCCCAGACGTTCAGACATGGTGGTCAGTGTTTATGGGAGAGGGGCACTGAAGGCCTCAAACCTTCAATTACAAATTACAGGGTTTTTTTGGCTTGTGTAGGTTTGATTTGCTTTGCTTTTTGTGGGGTATTTTTTCGGTTCTTTTCCCTTTTTTAACTAGAGCAATGATGGCTGAAATAGAAAGAGAGGGGAAAGAGAAGTAAAAATAATGGAAAAAGCAAAAAGCAATGACACCGCCCCAAAAATAACCTGTTAAAAATAAAACATGTTCTTCAAGCTCTGTGTTACGAGAACACCTTGGATGTACATGTTCCGTATTCTTCAAAATGAGCGATATTTTGACTGTCATAAGAACATAGCTGAGGGGATTGTTTATGTGGGTTTGCATCTTTCATGATGGAAGAAGCTTTAGCAGAATCCCTGCCCATCAGATTAATAAATTCTTATATTCAGGGTTAGATAGAATCAAGGTTATACATCTCAGTCTTGAGCAAATCTCTACAGACCAAGAGCTCACAGAGCCACAAGAAGCTTTTGTCAGCATTCCTCGGAGTTCACTGCATTGGTATTCATCTGTTCAGCTATTCCCTTTCAATATTTGTGCTGGGAGAGGACAAGCCACCAGCCAGTTCAAACAGTGCACGACTGTCTGGGCACCTCCTCCTACCCACCCGCCTGCCACTGGAGTTTGGAGCGGTTTCAGAGGAAGATGCTGTGACCCGCACTGCCAGCACAAGCTTTGCCTCCAGACAGATGTCAGCACTGCCAGGGGAGGAAAGGAAGGAAACAACTCTTCCCAAGCCACCCATGGCTTAAACATGAACCTGAAATTACCAACCACCGCTAGAGAGGCATCTTCTTGCAGCAATCACTGCAGCACCCACCGTGATGATGCTGGTTTAGTCACTGCCCTCTTCCCTGCAGATCACTTCTCATCTACAACCATCAGCTAACCAAACACTGCCAGTTTCCCAGCCAGAGAAGTGATGGCAGATCAAAACAAGTGAGCTCACTAGTCATATATGAGATGCACATGTATTTGGTTTGCCCAAATTAAAGGCAGGTTAACTCCTTCTAGTGATTTAACACATGGCTACAGCTCCTTAAAAATAAAAAATAAAAAATAAAAAAAAACAACCCCTAGAAATCCTAAGCATAAGAGTTCCTGTAATCTTAATGCAGTGTCTCCAGTTGAATAGCCTTGTCCAAAGATGGAGACTGAGAGAAATAAAAACTTTAACTGGTGCGCCTAAAGCATTAGATTTCAACTAGATTTATATATTTCAACTATATTTATTTATTTATTTGTAGTATTTTCTCCCCATGTGCACATTTTCATTCCTATTTTCAGCCCTCCAGATCTCAAAGAGCTAATGATTAGACAGCAAGTGAATACCAGCTTCTCTGAGGTCATGACCCATTCAGTCCTCCGAGCCACATCTGACCCACACAAGCTGTGCTTTTGAAACCTGAGGAGCCCTCCAAAACTGCAGATTACAGCAGCAGAATACAGAATTCAAGGAAGAACCAGTAATTCCATTTATTGCATATCTGTTCATCATGGTATGAATTTATGCCATTTAAGATTTATTTTAACTCCACTAGTCATTCTGGGAGTGCACAGTTCATGAGCCCTGGTTATCAAGTGGAATAAAGTCCAGAGAGAGAAGCTTGGCCTCCTAGAGCTGCTTTGCTCTGAGGGAATACTTGGTCCCTCTATGCCCAAGCCACAAAAACCCAAGCAGAGTCAACTTATCTGTCCTGAGAAACAACTATCAATTACGAGGATACAAGATGGCAACCATCTGGCAAAAATTTATAGCCAGTGAGGTCATGACTGGGATGTTACACCTGTGAATTTGACATAGTGATGACCAAAAGACCAACCCCTCCCTAGTCATTAAGAATTTGACTTTCCTTAGACAGAATTCTCTGACTCACTGTGGTGACTCAAACTGCAGCCTATCCCAACTCAGAGACAGCTCTGGCTCAGTCAAGATGGGATTAGAATGTGTTCTTTATAACTACCACACTTGTCTGCTGAGGTACAGCTGCCACTGTTCCCTGTTCAGACACCCCACACACACACACACTCCTAGTGGGTTTTCTGCTCCTTGGGGAATCAGTCTTTTTTCTTTCTCTCTTTCCTCCTGGTATCTGATTGTGCTTCCTATAAGCTGGGTTACCAATTATAAATCCCTACTGAGCAGGCTTACATGAATAATGGATTTTGTGGCTAAGTGGAAAAACTGAAAAGCCAGAGATTAAAAAAAACAAAAAAAAAACCAAAAAAACCACCTTTTAGGTCAGCTGAAAGTGACAACATTTTGGGAAGCTGGCATAAGATTTTAGAAAATAACTGTTCAAGGTTGACCAAAAGCATTGCACTCAAACATTAGTTACAGAAATTGCAATTTAGATTTTGAAGTATTTAACCCTTTTCTAAAAGACATTTTATGTAAGTTAAATGTGCTGATGTAATGTTGAAACATTTCCTTTAGAAAGTACTTGTAAAAGAAACAGTTACAGAAATGTTTTCCTTTTTGTTTTTGAATAAAGTTTTTTACCAAATGTATCTACTGAAAATCTGCAAGTCATCATCCCAGAAGTTCTCTTTTCAGCAAACACTCTTTCCTAAAAGAAGTTTCCATCTAAATCTTAATGTTTCCTTTAGAGCATTTTTTTTCTTTCATAAATCAGTAGTGATAGCAAGGAAGACACCAGCCAAATAGCTCCAACAAGAATGAGACTCATCAGTTACAGTGAATGGTTGAATGATACCCTGTATTTTCAAGATCCTATTCATCCTGTCTCCAGCAATCCTGCCCCATATCCTCAGAATCCTTATATCCTGAAGATAAAGGTCCATTTTTCAAATCTGCTCAGGATTTTCCCTGAAGATTTGACTATACATCACCTTGAAACAAAGACCAATCTTACTTAAAATCTGGCACTGGTACAGCAAGACACCTAGCACTACTGCACGTCTGTCAGGCAGCACAGCGAGCCACTCCCCACGCCACAATCCCCAGCAGAGTCGTGTCCCCAACAGCTGCCTGACTTCCTACAGCAAGTTCCTCCTTGGTTGGTCCCACCTGGCTTTGCCCCACAGCAAGCACCCCTTGCACTGATGCCTCTTCCCAGAGCAGCAACTGGCAGTCTCTGGAGAGCATCTCCTTGTGAGAATCCCATGGATCTCTCCCAGTGCCTCCTGGCTGCCACAGCAGAGTCACTTGGAAGTGCTTGATTTGGGATAGAGGCAACTCAGACAGCAGCACCTGATTTTGCAGAACTTCTCTGCAACATCTGACGTTTTTGGCAATGGCTGTCGCCTCCTCCTCCCAGCAAATGGGAAAGAGTAGGATGACAGAAATTCTTAACAAAGGACGGATGTTTCTAGCACTGAGAAAACAATCTTTCCCATCCCCCACACCAGTTATCTTAAGAAGCTGGTGAATTCTTCTAGCTGAGAGTGCATACCTTCAGCACGCAAGATTTCAGCCTCAGTGACGGCATGCAAATTTGTTGGTGTCATAAAAAACTGAAAGTAGATTTAGAGTGCTAAGACACAGGCGGCTTTAATAACAAGCATAGCTTGCTGTGCCACCTCTTCATAAAATATTATCTGTCATCAAAATTAGCCAAGTCTCTTAAAAATTCAGGCATTGTGGTTTTATATTTCTGCTCCCCCGCAGTCTGCTCCTAAGCTCCAATTGTATCCACGTATAATCTATGGCTGTTTTCCAGAATCAAGCAACTACTCTTTGAATCTCTTTAAACAAAGACAGAGATTTCTGCTTGGCCAGTTGCCACTTTCCTCTGCCATTTGTATTTATAACGTGATCGTGATGGACCTGATACGCCGTATCTGGCATAACCAGCAACCTCATTTTCAGTCCTACAAACAGTATGAAAAATGTGACAGATGCAGAAAAGTTGATGCTTTACACATGGGCTGGGCAATCAGTTTGTGCAGGTGTCAGGGACAGCTGGAGGGACAGGGATGAGGAAACCACACCCCTGTGATTATGATCACATGCCCAGGTGACCAGGAAGACTCTCAGTGATGGACAGTAATTAAGAAAAGAAAGAGAATTAGTAGTGCTGGGAGGACGTGCACAGGAGGGAGAAAAAGAGGGAGCAGGGAAGCAATGCAGTGAAAAAATGAGCAAGATGAAGGGGAGGAAACAGCATAAAAACTGAGAGAAATAAACATGAAAGGGTGAAAAGAAACAAGGACAGGGAAAGAGAGCCAACACAAAATGAGAAGGGAAGAGCACTGAGAAGTGTTTATATGGATAGATGCACCAGAAGCCAGGACATTGGAGTGAATCCCAAACAGCTGTCATGGAGGAATCTGCAGCACATCCACACTGCCGGAGAGGAACAAGAACAGCCAAGGGTCTCACCGTGAATTTCTTGTAGAGCTCATAAGTGAGGAGAGGGTTGGGCAGCTCCCTGAAGTACAGCTTGCAGAGTGATCCCACACAGTGGATGTCCTGGAGGTAAACTTCCCTTGTCAGATCTGGGCATTGGTCAGAAACAAACTCTTGTCTGAAACAACATGGGAAGATAATATGGGTGAATAAGAGCAGTAGTGGGCCAGTACTCCACCCTAAGTACTCATTTGCAACTAGAGAAAAAAACAAATGGGAAAGCAGAGATGTCTCTACAGGCCGGCCCAGACTGTGTCCCAAGTTCAGACCCTGACATTTCAATTAGTCTCCATTATCCCTAACACAGGCAGTGGACCTCAAACTGATATAAAGAGATTGCTCTGCCCCAAAGTGAGAGAGAGCAACTCAGCAATTGCTCTGAGACCCTCTATGCCTTTCCCACTAATAGATGCAGAGGGAGATACAGGGCTTTTTGGGCTAATCCCTAAAATGTTGTCTTCCCCTGCTTCCAACTTCAAAGAGAGTTTATCTCCTGCATCAGTGTGGAGCTCTGTTGGCCACAGTCTGAGGGACTAATGCCAAAAAGGTACTGAGTAATGTCCCTGAATCCCTCTGACACTCCCAAATGATGCCCTTACCTCAACTTCTGTATGTTGGATGTCACTCCTGAAAGCCGGTAGATCCCATCCACGATGCCATGAGTCTCGATGAACTCCGCACAGCTCTTCAGCACGTAAGGGACTATGAGAGGAAAGCAAAGCAAGATGTCTAATGAATACCCACTGATGGCTCTGACAAGTCACCACAGAGGAGACAGTTCCATGAAAAAACAGCAGAGGCTCTCTGTGGATGCAGGGAAGGGTACAGCAATGAGAGAAATCAAAAATAACCCCTGCAAAGTGGCCATGAGGATATGCTGTGGTTGTGCCACGCAATGCTCACTGACATGTGACAATGACTGACCCTGAAGTCACAGTAACATAGCAGAAAGAAAGGTAGAGTTTCCCTCTCTTCCTTTTTCTTCCAAAATAAAATAAAAGAAGCTCTTTCATTCTAATTGAAAGCATGTGGTAATGCATTTCCAGGCATGAGGTCCTGGGAACCTCCACCCTCCCCAGTATAGAGCTCCAGCCTCGCTGAATTGTGCCAAAAGGTCTCATTGGCTTGGATAAAAATCAGAGAAGCATTCACACTTCCATATAAGCCTACATACCCACAGTTTAGTGCACATAAATCCCACTGAGGGGGTATAAAGTTCAAATATTGACTAGATCTGCACACTGACAAAACCTGACATTGGCTTCAAAAGAACTCCATCAACATAACTAGACAAAGACTTAACCAGTCTTAAAGCTGAGAGGAGCCTGAGGCACAACATTTATATCCAGACTTGGACCCAAAGTATATGTTTATTTTTTCCCCATTATATAGGTATAAGAACCCCCCATTCTCTTGGTCAGATCAAGCCTCCCTGTCCCCAGTACTATAACAACCCAAGCTATAACAATAACAGTAAGAAAGCCCTTCCTTATTAGGTGCTAGAAACTACTGTGTATTTAATGCAATGCTTCACACAGCCATAGGCACAAAAGTCAGTAAATGCACAAGTCAAAAGTTCCCTGCTGTAATGCTGACTCTGCTGCACTGCACATTTCAAAAGCTGTATGGAAGAAAACCAGCTAAGCCATAGATTTGACTGGAAAGCCAGCCTCTGGCTGGACCTTCCCCGAGTTCTTCTGCTCAAAACTCAGGAATATAATGATATATTAACATGTGCTTCATCAGATGGCATCTAAAGACAGCACTCCAACAAAAGCCTGAACAAAAACAGTTAGTGCATTATTAATTTTCATTATTTTATCATTTCTCATGGGAGCTACTGAGGCCAGAGCCAGCTCATGAGTGGACCTGTCCCTACCAAGCAGTGCAGGGCACAGGCTCTGGTGAGAAGGGCTCCAAGCTTGCACCTCTCTCAGCGACACACTATTATTGAGCCAGTCAGCCAGGGAAGCGCTGCCCTTCTGCCTCCTGACTTGCTGAGGGAAGCAAAGAAGAAGTCCTTTTGTGTGTCCCTTCTCTTGTCTTTTGGCCAACCCAAATGCAGGAGTACACAAAGTCTCAGTGATTACTTAGAAGCCTGAACAGTCCAAACAAGCTAATTCTTCTCAAAGGAGCTTCTCCAAAACAACAGGGAAAAATTGACTTTATGAGTTTTTTGAGCAGGCACTCATAACATGGGTACATTGGTCATACTGTGTCACACTCAAAGCCCTTGTGCTGATTTTCAAGACCCTCAAGTTGTTGGGTGGAGCTCATGGCAGAGGCCCTAAGCCTACAACAGTGCTCATGAAACCATGAAATTGCAAAGACAACAGGTGAAGTCTACAGAGTGAAAGCTTTGTCCACAACAGTCACAGAGTTATGGTATTGTCTCCTCAAGGACTTTTGAGGATCACATCAGAGCCTTCCAGAAAGGAAAGAACCTGGGAAGTATTCCTTCCAGTGCATGCAACACCTGCTTCCTATGCGGGCTAAATGGTGTGGAAGGGGAGAGAGCAAAAAAGAGCAGTATGAAATTTCCTTAACATCCTTCCAAGAAAAGTCCAAGTGACACATCAGAAAAAGAAGACCTTCTTATGTCTGAGTAAGTCCTGATTATCTAGAACTGCAGTAGGGAACTCAAATCATATGATGATGAGAATGCTAAAAATCAAAAAAAGGGAAAGACAAATTACTTCAGGCCTCATCTCCATTTCTGGAAAATCAGATTTTAACATCTTTATGGTAGAAGCTATGGTACATGGCATATTAAACCTTCCTTCTTGGTAGGGGTCTCAGAATAAATGACATGTAACCAGCAAAAATGGAAGTTAGGTAGATCCATGTCCACCTCAGATTTATCTGAGTGAGAGAATAGAAACCATTCATGCAACCTGAAAAAAAGAAGAATTAATTGAACAGAAAACTTATTTGATCACGACAGCCACGTGACAAGGTTTGTTTAAAGGCTAACAGTCTTTCATGGAGACAAGCCTCATATGATGGTGCCTGGCTGCCAAAAAATGGGGTCCATGCACAAAGCATCCTTTATTAGATACTTTTCAAAACCTCAGTGTTAAGAATAAGAAAACCAACTAAAAATGCAGATACTGATGTTTGTTGTGACTAATTTGACCTCTTGAAAGTAAGACCTATTAAATCACACCATTTTTTTGGCCGAGTTCTAAGTTTCCTTGGATTAAATGAGGTCAATAGGCCTCAGGCAGGTAAGCAAACCCCCTATACAGAAAAAGAAGAGAAGGCTAGATCCGTCTGTTGAGGACTGGTAAGGAAAAACAGGGGCCTGAGGGGAACAATCTGTAGCAAATGCATAAAATTCAACCCATTTTTAAAAGTGGGTGAAAACTCCACAGCAGAGACAACCTGTAGACTGCATGTAGACAATATGCACTGAGCTCTGCCAGTATCTCTTACTGCAGCCCTGCATTTTTCCTTGCTTTTCCAACCCTGGGCTTCTCACATATCTCTGCCAGTGCCCTTCACTCATCATGTACAAGATTTCCTGCCATACCAGGTCTTTGGTTCCTAGGAAGAGACAAATTTCTGGCAGTTTTGTGATGTCAAAAAAAAAATCCAACATAGGACACCTTTCACTTGCAACTGAAAATTACAAACTTTGACCTCAGATCCCTGGAGGTGAAGGGACTACATCAACTTCCTGCAAATCAAGCCCTTAAATGCAGCACTTGTATGGAACTGGAGCACAATAAATGTTTTCTTTGAGCAGGACCTGTACCTCTGGCATTCCTGAGCAGCTCTGATCTCCTACAAAGCTTAGCCTTTTGGGCTTTTGGGGGTGGTGAGGTTAGAGCAGCAGTGAGCAGCTCTCTCCCACTTCCAGGAGTTTCTGAGCTGGTAGGATTATTTCAGACGTGGCTCCTGATGAACTGAGGCTGGGATCAACCCTGAATGCAGGAAGGTACAGGCTCTGGCATGGGATTTACAGCAGGTCTCTATTGGAGTTACAGGGCATGTAAATCACAGGGCTGTGTCTCTCCCAGAGGAAGATCAGGCGTGGAAGGGGATTTGCAGCAGGGGCTGTACGTGCAGGCACAGAAAGGAGATGGCGGGGAGGGAGTCCAGTCTTGACACTCCTATAATTAAAACTGTGCTGGAAGCTTAGAAGGCTTAGAAGCTGGAAGGGGCAGCTGGTGTCACACAGACCCCGCTTGTTCTGCCAGACAGCCAAACTGTCCTCATTTAAAACTACAATAGAAACCAGATGGAGGAGGACGAGAGAGCACGGAGTGAGGCATCAGTCAAAAGGGAAATTCAGTTATAAACATACTGCACACAAAAGACAATACTTCTCTTCCCCTAGACAAAAATAAACCAGAAGAGCAGTTGCAGTAACTCGTTCCACTCTCACTGGATATCACCTCCAAGTTCAGTGTACACAGACATGCACCTTCACCAGGGTCTTTTCCAAGACAACAGATCATGCCACCTCCTTTACTCGTGTCTGCTGCTCTTACTGAGTCAGGCACCATGCTGTCCTCCTTCTGATCCCCCCAGTTTCCAGTGGCAGCAACAGGCACTGAAATTCCCTCCTCCCAGCAATGCTGGCTCTAATTCCTTCCCCTTCCTCTGTCCCTTCCCAGCCATGGTGCTGCCACCCACCAAACCTCCCCACCAGCAAGCAAGGAGCCCATTTTTTGCCTGCCTAACAAAGGTTTCATCTGGCACTGGACTGAGCATTTTGGATCTAATCTGCAGAGACCTTTAAGCATGTCCCTCTTTAAATCCCCAAGCAGCCCAAGCAGGAGAGGTCACTAGGAAAAGAGGGAGTGACCCCATCCAGTGACCAGAGGGAGGATGGCCTCCTGGCCTCCCACCAAAGCCAGCAAAGAGCAAGGAGATGCAGGCAATATCCTGTGACTTTCAGTGCCACCTTCCAGAGGAAACTCTGAGTCTCCATGGGCTAAAGAGGGACCCCAGGGAGGAGGTTGCTAAGGCAGACACCCTAAGCAGTCAGTGTGAATAGTGCCCAGTTAGACACTAAGTTAGCTAGCCTGGACTGGGCCATGTGTTCAGGGTACACTGCACTGACCTGGACTGAATAGCAGCAGGCCTAATATTTTACTTTATCCTTCTGTTATTTTCTCAGACTACTTGTAAGGATAAGCACTGGTGACAGAGATGCTCAGGGCCTCCTTGGTAGGTGGTTTCTGCCACATGGTGGAGGTTTCATGTCCTCTGTAATTTTATTTTAATTTTAGTTCTTCTATTGGGAGGATAAATGAGGACCTTTCATTTCACCTGGAACACCAACTTTTTGATTTTTGACTTGAAGGAAGTAGTTTGGATTTTTATTTTAATTTCTCTCCAAAATATAACAAAATAAAACAAAAAAAAAAAAAAAAAAAAAAAAAAGAAGTTGCAACCATTTACCATTTTTATTTTATCATTTTGGGTTTTTTATGCATTACTATTTCTTTAAATTGTCTTCAATTACCCTCAATAGCAGCACATGCTTCCTATCATGCTATGTCGATGCCACGACAATAAAGGTCAAAAGTCTCCCATTTCAATTTAAATGACTAAAATAGGAAATATTTCCTTCTAAAAAGTGTTTCAGTCTGTACTAAGCAAGAGTTATTTTGAACAAAAAAATAACAGAACAAACTAATATATTCAGTTGGCTTCCTAATCACAGGAAAGGAACAACATTGTACAAATGG